AGAAAGAAAGAAAGAAAGAAAGAAAGAAAGAAAGAAAGAAAGAAAGAAAGAAAGAAAGAAAGAAAGAAAGATGTGAATGAAAAGCAGGTAGTGTAGAGACAGAACATTGTTTAGCATGTGCTCAGCCCAGGATACCATCTCCAGAAAACAAACAAACAAAAAAGCAAACAAACAAAAATCCCGACACACCCATCTCTTCAGTTATGTTTAATAGATACCAAACTCAATGACAGACATCCGGAGCTAAAACTTTTTCTGTGAAGAGCCACTGGGCTTCCTAGGCCATACAGTCTCTGCCACAGCCACTTGGTGCTGTGTACACCAGCACCATAAACCATACAGAAAACAATGGGCAGGTCCGTATCCGATAGAACTTTATTTGTAGGAATCAGCAACAGGGAAGAGGCATCCCAGGGACCCTGTTTGCCACCCCTGGACAGCTCCAGCTTTGAGGAAAGGCCTATCCAGAGCGTCATTTCTTCCTCCGAGCACTCTCCTTTGGGGTAGGGTCTTCAGAACACTTGATGAAGGCTCACATCTAGGCACTCTGTCCCTCTCCCTCCATGTCCTTTGATAAGTGCCAATTGGCAAGGGGACCATCCTTCCATGGCCGTTATTCTGAAAGACAAAGCAGTGGGGTAGAGATTAAAGCCAGACCCAGGTCTTTGTGCCGTGCTCAGCCTATCAAGTGGTCCTCTTCAGATCGGACTGTGTTAGCTGTACACCTTCAGAGAGAGACAGGACCATTCTTTCCCTCAATAGTCTTCGGAGTGGGTGTGGGAGGACAGGTTTACGAAAGGCCCTTCTGAAATGCCGGCTGAAAGAAAATCATTCTCCCTGGCACCACGGGCTCTTTCTCGTGTGAAGCTGCGTGCTCACTTTTCCATTTCATTCCTCAAGCACCCCATGGCACCCATCCATGTATTAGGCTAATAACTGCATGAAGCTAGTTAAAAGGAACCGAGCAATTATTTTAATTAGAAGAGAACAAAAATAACACTCCTGGCTTCTGTTTTAAGGGGCAAGAAGGAAGTAGTCAGGGTTCAAAAAGATCCCACAAAATATTTTTGTGAAAGGAAAAAATAATTAAGGCCAAATTTAGAATGTACTTGCAATAAATGGGCCAAATAAATGAATGGCCCCACTGTGCAGCCAGGACCCATTCACAGAGAAGAGTCCCAGAAAGCTCATTTTTATGTGATACCATCTTGAGGACACAGCCAATTTTACACAGTGAAAGTGAATGTCTAGTAGACTCTAATGATCCTTGTGAATCCCTCATGCATCCTCTTAAAGAGTTTCTGTGTAAACTCTTTTATTAATAAGAGAGAGGGGCAGGATCTTGTTCAATTTGCCTTTTAAGCCAGATTTTTTTGTTGTTGTTTGAATTTTTAAATTGCTCTGGAGAAATCTACCTTCACAGAAGATCCCTGTTGCTAATCTATTCAATCAAAGGTGGCATCCATCACAAGAGGACTTTAATAGCTGGACTGTGCTCCTTTACACAGGGAGAGCATTGAGCTACAGATTTCCCCCAGCCTTGGCCTCAAACCTCCATGGAGACTGTGCCTCTATGACCTCTTCCATCTACCCCTGTCTTCTAAAAAGAAACAAAATGAAACTCAGAGCTGTCAGCTGGTTGCTATTGTTCGTGCTGTGTGGATCTATAAATGTTAGTTGAGCACCTACCCCCGCCACCCCCCCCCCACACACACACACATAAAGTTCCAGATTCCCACAGATCGCTGGAGGCTGCGCTCTGCTGAAAAACAGATCCACATCCATCTATTCGCACAGACAAAACCACGGGCAGAAACAAGAGGCAGCCGCTTCAGCTGGGTGAGTTCAAGGTTGTCTAGCCTGAGCTTATTATTAAAGAGTGGATTATCCAAGAGAAATACATAGATGGTTTGTTTCAGGTAGAAAGATCAGCGGGAACAGAAGCTGAGACACTCGGGACCCTGGTGCACAGACAGAGCTGGCCACGGTAGAGTGAGAGAGTGATCAACCAAAAATTAGAGTAGCTGAGAAAGCAAGCTGCAAAGACAAGTCACAGCCAGGTGCTGTAGGCCAAATATTGGTGTCTTCTCTCAGGTTCCTACTTTATACTAGTACACAGTCAGTCTGCTGTTACGTATAGCCTGGGCTGTGAGTGGGATGTCTGAATGCTAAGCTATCCTTTCTCAGGCATTCAACTGCTCGCTCTGAAAGGGAAATCTGTCCTGTTTACCTCTTGCTGAAAACCATGAGGTGGTTGTTGATGTTTGCTTTCTCTTGTAATACATGCCAAGACCAAAAGCAACTAAGGAGAGGAAAGGGTTTATTTCACCTTACACATACAGGTCACAGTCCATCACTGAGAAGAGCCAGGGCAGGAACTATCGAGGAATGCTGCTTACTGGGCTCACTCTTAGACTCATGTTCCGCTGGCTTTTTTATATACCCAAGGCCCACCTGCCCAGGGATGGGGCAGGCCACAGTGGGCTGGACCCTCCCACAGCAATCAATTGAAATAATCTCTCACAGATATGGCCATGGGCCAATATGATTGCAGCAATACTTCAATTATCGTTCCCTCTTCCCGGGTTACTCTAGGCTGTGTGAAGTTGGCAAGGGAAATTAATTAGGATAGTGGTTTTGCCAATAGCCAGTGTGATGTTGTTAAGAGGTGTGGACTTTGGGTAGTGATGAAATCATGGGCCCTCCACCTTCATGAATGAGAACAGTGCCCTCATTTTTAGAATAAGGCACAACCTGGCTCTCTGCGGCTTCCACCATGCGAGAATGCAGCAACAAGACACCATTTCTATGGTCCTAACAGGACACCATAACTGTTGGCACCTTAATCTTGGGCTTCCCCATCTCCCCAAACTATGAGCAATACGTGTCTTTTATTTATAAATTATCCAGCCCAGGGCCAAGAGCGTAGCTTAGAGGCAGAGCACTTGCCCGGCAGCCAGCACAGAACACCAAATCATCTAGTCTAAGCTCTGTGGGGAAGCAGGCCCCACAGACTGAAATAACAGGTCACAGGTGGACCTGTGCCAAGCCCTCATTCACACTGCAAAGCAATACAAAGCCGCCTCCCAGTTTTCAGCAAGGGGATAAGACAGTCAGCTATGCAGTTCAGAGTCCAGGCTGTTTGTGATGACAGGTTGGCCCTGCACTAAAAAGACAGCAAGTCAGAAAGGAGAGCAGCGCGCCATAGGACTGGAGCCAGTTTTAAAACTAAGAAATATTTCTCAGGAGCAAGGCCTGAAGGGTCAAAAAGTCAGAGGTAAAACCGGCTTTGAAGATGCGTGGTGAGGACCATGTGAGTGTCATCACTTGCCCCAAGAGGCTTCTCCTGTCACGGGTTTTTCTTTTAAACCCACATGGCCATCGATCGTGGTTTCCAAAATCAAAATGGAGTAGCTAATTCGAGCCTTGGACCCATGAATATCCTGTTAAGGGCTGTTCGGAACCTCAGCAAACCGCCCAGTTCTGTTTACTTTCCTGTGCAACCCTTAGGCAGAGCCAGCCGTGGTGAGTGCTCAGGCCACTCTGCACACGTGTGTAATTGCTCTGTCAAATTGTTAGCCTTCCCAGCGTGTTCACGTTGAATGAAATCTGAAGAAAATGCATCTCTCGGTTTACAAGCTGAACTCGGTGACACCATGGAAGAGGACGTTACGGGGAACTGTAGTCACGCTTAATTCACAAGCATCGTTACAAAAGTACGTATTACAGAAATGAAGAAAACATATGCAACGGTATGTAAAATAAAATGCCACAGCCAAGTCGGGTTTAATCCCAAATACAAGATTGGTTAACATTCAAAAACCTACTGGGGGGGGGGAGGAGAAAAGATATGAAAGTAGGCAGAGGCTGTGTTGAATACAAGTAAGTTCTAGCAGGAAAGGGACTGGGGTGGGGCATAAAAAATGACTAAAAGTCACTGAAACGAGTATGAAATTGTCAAGGAACTTAAAAATGTGAGGGAAACCCACTGAATAATCTGTCACACTGGTGGGATGAAGAGAAAAGGGCATGTCGTCACTGCGCACAGAAGAAGTGTTTCACTTAGGGTAAAGATGTCAACACAAAGCATGGAAAGAAGGAGGCCTTTCCAATGAGTGGGGCAGAAGTGGATACTCACAACAGAAGGGCCAACTTGATCAGTGCTGTGGGCAAGGAATACAACCCTGTGGTGCAGAACATTCTGGCAGTCACAAAAATTCCTGGGTTCAATCTTGGTCACAAGACAGAAAGACAGGGGAGAAAAAAAAAAAAGAGAATGAAGAGGTAGGAAAGAATGGAGGGGGGGATGGAGGCCATGTAGACTGTGGGTTTAAATATAAAACATAAAACAGCAAACTTACTAGAAAATATCATTAGGATATTTCCATGGCCTTCGGATAAGAAAAACTCTCTCGAGATAACCAAAGTGTCAACTAGAAAGAAATTAGCCATGCACAGAAACCATAAAGAAAGTGATGGGTCAAGTTCAGAAGACTTGTAACATTCCCAACACTTGAACGCATAAAAAATTTATACGTAAAATGTATGCATGAAAATTCAATATAAAATAAGTAGTCTGGGCTGGAGCAATGGTTCAGTGGGTAAGAGTGCATGTCCCACAAGCATGAAAACCTGAATTTGAATCCCCACTGCCTTCCGTGCCTCGGTATGGTAGGAGCAAAGTCAGGTGGATTTCTGGAGACACTGAGCAGACAATCTAGCCAAAACAGTGAGCTTGAGGTGACACCCTGTCTCAAGGGAACGAGGCAAATGTGGTTGATATATTGTGCACCCCAATAAACTTATCTGGCGGTGAGAGAACAGAACAGCCACTATATTAAACATAGAGGTTAGGCAGTGGTAGCACACACCTTTAATCCTAGCATTCCGGAGGCACAGATCCATTGGGATCTCTGTGAGTTCAAGGTTACACTGGAAACTGCCAGGCATGGTGACACACACCTTTAATCCCAGGAAGTGATGGCAAGAAGCAGAAAGGTATATAAGACATGAAAACCAGGAACTAGAGGTTTTTAAGCTTCTAAGATTTTAGACTTTCAGCAGCAGTTCAGCTGAGATCCATTCAGATGAGGACTCAGAGGCTTCCAGTTTGAGAAAACAGGATAGGCTGAGAAGTTAGCAAAGTGAGGTAGCTGTGGCTTGTTCTGCTTCTCTGATCTTTCAGCATTCACCCCCAGTACCCGGCTCCGGGGTTTGTTTTTATTAATAAGACCTTTTAAGATTCATGTTACAGGCAGATAAGAAGAGAAATGGACTCCCAATGTTCTAGTTACCACATGCATGTGCATGGGTACATGCATGCACACGCGCACGCGCACACACACACACACATATACACACACAAAGCAGGCAACTTGAGAATAGTGTTCATAAAAGGGAACACTCAAATGCCCAGTAGACCTGAAAAAGATGCCCAATTTTTTTAAGAATCCAGGAAATTGCTGATCCGGTGGTGGTGCACACCTTTAATCCCAAAACTCAGGAGGCAGAGACAAGGAGATCTCTGAGTTAGAGGTCAGCCTGATCTACAGAGCAAGTTCCAGTACAGCCAGGGCTACACAGAGAAACCCTGTCTGAAAAAAAATAGAACCAGGAAA